TTTTTGTTTGTTTTGACAAATGAAGACACAGTCCCCGAGAGAGACTTGACGTACTCAAAGTGTGGCAGCGCTAAGAACTGGAAGAGACGGCATCTCAACCCCACTCCTGGACCCTGCCCTCTGCAGCTAGATGCTCTGATACCATGGACCAGGATGTGGCAATTTACCCTGTTGATAACAGTAGTCAATTCCACCAAGGACTTTTTTCTTTATTATATGTGATGGATTTGAGGTCTAGGTTTTCTTTTTTTAAAAAATCTTGAGTTCTAAGAAAAAAACATCCCCCGACTTCTCCTCTTTCTGGTGCCCCATTGAAAAGGAATTTGCACTGGCATCAGCATTCCATATATATGTGTGTGTATATATATATGTATGTATGTATATATGTATATCTCCAAGTGCTCCCAGTAAAATCCACCCAGCTTCATTTATTTCAATGATTAGACATTCAAATAAAAGTGCTTGGATGTCTGTTTTCATAGGCATGGGCCAACATCTGTACATCAGGCGTGTTTGTGCAAGTGACACTTTTATTACATTCATTTCATTTGCAATATGATACAGAATCATAAATATGTTATTTTATGTCACCATATCTGATTTGTAGCACTTAGACCTTCACACAAGGTACAGTGTGTTTATAGAGTACCTTTCAGCAGAGAAGTACTTTACAAACATTGGACCAGATTCTCTGCCAGGGGAATTTATTATTCCCTGGGTCCTCTTGAGGTGCTCTCTCTCTCTCTCCCTCTCCCTGTCTCTCCCTCCCTCCCCCCATCGCTTTCCCTCTCTCCTTCTACCCCCCTTTCTCTCTCTTCCTTCTTCCTCCCTCTCTCTCTTCTTCTCTCTCTCCCTTTCTCTCCCCCTCTCCCTGCTACCCCTCTCCTCTTTCTCCCCATTTCCCTTCCTCCCTCTCTGCCTTTTTTTCTCTCTCTCTCTCCTTCTCCCCCTCCCCCCTCTCCCTCTCTCTTTCTCTGTTCCTCCCTCTCTCCTTCTTCACCTCCCCCTTCTCCTTTTCCCCCCTCTTTCTCTCTCCTCCCTCTCCTGCTCCCTCTCTCCCCTTTCTCCCCATTTCCCTATCTTCCTGTCTCCCTCTTTGTCTCTCCCTCCCTCTACTTGATTACTGCTTCCAGATCAGGAGTGTGTAATGATAGGAAGTGTGCTAAGTCACAAGGAGCAACTGAAATAATTGTGCCCAGGAAGGATGAGGACCCATGTTCCCCCCACCCAGCTTTTCTTCATCCCTCTTCCCACCCTTTCTGAAGCTGCAAACATTTAGACGCTTGATTGATTGAGTTGTGGGCCTTATGGAAGGGTGCACTGGGGAATAGTTTAGAGTTAGAAGAGCCCTTTGGACCACTGAGGTCAGCCTCCTTATTTTACCAATTTACCAATCTCATCCTGGGAATCTGGGGCCGCATGTGGATCTAAATGTAGGTCTTCTAACTCCCCGCTCAGTATTCATTCCACTTCAAGTCAATCAACAAGCGTTCATTATATATCGGGACTTGAATCCAGGTCTTCCTGACTCTGAGGCCTACCCTCAAAGTCCATCATGCCTTGCTATTTCCCATCATTCTTATGACCATTCTTCACAAGCAGAGATCTGGTCAAATTCCCCAACAGGTTATGGACAGGAGGGAAAACAATGGAAGACCTGGCGTCTGGGTACCTGGTTTGAATCCTGGCATCAGCACTAACTTGTTGGGTGATTATGCACAAGTCCCCTAACCTCCAAGCCTCAGCTACAAAGTGGGGGGCGAGCTTGGGAGGATGGCATCCTATTTGTATGACCAGCCTCATTGGGTTGTTGCTACAGCGTTGTTAATCTAGGGTGATATATGAGAAAAATCACCACATGGGCCACCCACCATTTGTATACCGGGAAAAACCTATTGAAGTAACCGTCAGTGACCATCTAGAAGTAGAGAAGAAGTCAGACCTGACCATGAGGACAAGTCACGTGGCCCGAGAGAAGTTGTATCTCTGTAGTAGATTGTAAACACTTTGAGGGAAGGGATTGCCTAAATTTTTTCTTTGCATCTCTAGTTGCCTGGCACAGAGATATATACATATATGCATACATGCATACATAAACATACATACATATATATATATATAAAAAGAGAGATATAGACATATAAAGATAATACAGATATATACACATTATATCTAATATATATGTATGTATATATGTGTGTGTGTTTCATTCAATGTCACATACACACATATATGGCACTGAATTAAATACTTTTTAAATTGAGTAGCCTTTAATGGTGTGTAGGAGAGAAATAGACAATTGTGGAAAGAGTGAGAGCCAATCTGTCTGCTTTGCCTTGGTGATAATGGAGATGTTAAGGCTAAGAGGATGTATAGTGCATCTCAGCACCCCTATCCTTGACTTTTTATTTTTTTTTAGGCAATGGGGTTAAGTGACTTGCCCAGGGTCACACAGCTAGTAAGTGTTATTTGTCTGAGGTCAGATTTGAACTCAGGTCCTCCTGACTCCAGGGCCGGTGCTCTATCCACTGCACCACCTAGCTGCCCCTATTCTTGACTTTTTAGCACCAGCCCACAGGCCCATACTCCCTCTCCCCGATCCTGCCACTTGCCATGTGGCAATGATGCTAGATCTCCAAGCAGTTTTCAGAGCTAGTAGATCTAATCTCAGGGACACCCTTCCCCTGCTTAAAGAGAAAGAACGTAAAAAGTGTGAAGGTCCCCATAGGTCAATGAACATATGCCTTATCACTTTTGTGTGTGTATATGTGGGCGGGGCGGGATTGTCTGCTCATTCTGTGCCCAATATTAGAGTTGGCTTCCCTCTTGTTCCAATAACCCCCTCCTGCGTCATTGATCTGGGGCTGGTAGACACTTGCCATGAGGCCTTCTGAGAGCCTGGACGTCGGCAGAAAGCCAAGGAAAGCAGAAGTAGCAGGAGAGACCTTTGCAGCCACCTGGCCGTAGGATTCCAGGCGAATTCTCTCCTTGTAACTAGTGATATTTGGCAGCCCTTTATAAGCCATGATATGTTTGTGCCATGAGCAGCTCTAAGCTAACGAGCTCGGCAGTGGACAGGGCCCCGTGTGTGATAGATTACAGTCCTTGTGCGGAAGTTTGCGCGATATTCTGAGGAGTCCTTATATCTTGGGGAACAATCACAATGAGAATGTGCTTTATTGAGGGTGGCGATGGTTGGGAAGGGATCCCAGTGCCGGTCAGAGGCAGCCAGACTAGTCCCTAAGAATGCTTTTAAACCCTGCTCTCAGATCATATAGAAACGTGAGGCCCTTGTGAGAAAGCTGGATTTGGAATCGGAAGACCTGAGTTCAAATCATGGCTTTTCCTCAAGACCTGTGTGAGAAGTGGTGATGACAAAGGCCTCCCATGGAACAGGCCAGATCAGACTAACCTCACTTCATTTTTGGACAGCATTATTAACCTAGCAATGAAGGGAGTGCGGTGGATATTGTCCGCGTGGGTTTTAGCAAGGCTTCTGATAAAGTAAGACATGCTGTTCTTGTGGAGAAGATGGAGAATGGGTGGGACAAAGCTGCCATTGAGTGAATTCAGAGCTGGTTGAATGACTGGGCTCAAAGAGGTATTGCTGGTGGCTCAATGCCAACATGGCAGGGGCCCCAGGGATCCGTACCTGGTCAGATGCTTCTGTTTCATGTTTTTATCAGTGACTGTGAATAAAGGTATATATGGCATACTTATCAGATCTTCATATGACCCAGGGCTAGGAGACAAGGCTAATATTCTGGGTGATGGATGCTGGGTCCAAAAAGAACATTAGGCATCTAGCCGATCATTACTTCATGGCAAGGTAAAATTCAGTAAGGATAAATATAAAGTCTTACACTGAGGTGCAAATAGCCAGTTTCCTAGATGGGGGACCAAGGTTAGAGAGCAGTTTGTCTGAAGATAATCAGGGAGTTTTAGAGGACTGGAAACTCAATCTTATTTTGTCCTCACAATGACCCTTCTAGAGAGATGCTATTATTATCCCTGTTTACAGATAAGGAAACTGAGGCAAACAGGGTGAAGAGACTTGCCCAAAGTGACACAAGTAGTAAGAGTCTGAGGCTGGATTCAAGCTCAGTTCTGCCTGACTCCAGTCCAACACTGTATCTATTGGGCTACCCCGCTGGCCGAGCCTCAGTGAGACAGGTAGTCCAGGGCCACACAGCTCTTATCAAAGGCAGGACTGGAGCTCTAGGTCTGCTTTGAATCAGGGGCAGAGCATGAACCCAGGCCGGCACCTCTCTCTCTGACTCTCTTGACCTCCATCACCTTTTGAAACCACACGAATCCCTGGTTTTAGCTGACTTCCTCCAGGAACGCTTGATGAAAGTTCCTTGCTTGAATTCTAGCCATCATATATTTTGGGAAGACAGATACCTGTTTAACAGGTAATCAGATCCTCTCTAAGCAGCCAGCTCCCGACTGAAATGTCCTAGGGTATCTCAAAATCAGCTTTCCCCATCCTTGTAATAACACGTTCATTATAGAAACAAGCTGAGTGTTTCTAATTGGAAAGATACAAGGCCCTGGGGAAGGAGATCAGGTCTTTGACCATCCCAGATTAGGAATGGAAATACTCTAGCTATATCTGCTATGAGTGTCCCTGCTCCTAGAACAAGACTTTCTGAATGGAAAGTTCTCTCAGCAGTTACTGGGATGGGGCTGAATTCTAGGTGATTCTGCGGTTACCTAAAGATCTGTACGAGTGTATACAGATGCCTGTGTGCGCACGTGCACGAAATCACACACACACACTCACATGCACGCACGCACACACACATTTACTTTTCTCCCAGGACAGCTTGGATGCCAAGTGACTTTTCCCAGGAGAAAGCATTGGCACAGCACTCCCACTTGGTAAAAACTTCGAGGAGTGGAGCAAGTCTGAAGGCAGTATTTGGGGCGTAGAGATGCATTGCCCCGTGCCACGGTCCAGTGGGTGATGCCTGAACTGCCATCTCTCTTCTTTCTAGCTGTCAGAAATGATAAGAATAAGAAGAAGAAAGAGCCTTCGAAGCAGGAATTCACAGAAAGCTATGAAATGACAGCAGAACTGGATGACCTCACTGAAAAGATCCGGAAAGCTCACCAGGAAACCTTCCCATCCCTCTGCCAGCTGGGGAAATACACCACGGTAAGACCCGCTTGTGGGGGGAGGGACGCTCCATCGTCAGAATAGCGTAGAGGGGAAATATACCATAGGAAAAACTGCACGTAGGGGACACATGCTGCAGGAGAAGCCACGTGTGCAGGGACAGATTGACTCACATGTTGTCGCCCCACAAACCCTGCATCGTGTTCCCCTGGACGCCTGCTTCCCTCGATACACCAGAGGGTCGTAGCCAAATTGTAGGCACTACCTGGAAGGTGGAGGCTGGTGCCCTTCCTCAGTCTGGTCCTGTGCGCATTTATGAAGTGCCTCCTCTGTGACAGCACTGTGCTACTCACCGGGCATAAAAAGACAAAAAGGAAAGTCCCTGCCGAAAAGGAGTTTAGAGCTTACACACTGCCGGAGGCTGAGGGGAGGGGAGGGCAGAGTAGGGGAGGAAGGGAAGAGGACCGTATGCACACAGGTAAGTAAATGCAAAATGTATGTGGAGCGCTTCTGCCTTTTTACTCCCCATCACTCACTTTCTAATTTGGTCTAGAGCTGATGAGCCCCCACTGGTGCGTTTCCCATTAAAAATCAAGTAGCGATTCAGCCTCAGACACTTGACATTTATTGGCTGTATGACCCTGGGCAAGTCACTTAACCCCATTGCCTAGCCAAAAACAAACAAACAAGCAAACACATCAAGTAGAAATCAATTCCAACAAAAAGTATTTTCAGGAAGTGGGGAAGAGCTAACGATGAGGGGAATCAGGGCAGGTCTCCTGGAGAACTTGAGCTGATCTTTGAAGGGACTTAGAGATTCCAGGAAGTGCACATGAGAAAGAAGACCATTCCAGACGTGGGGGCATCCTGAGCTAAGGCATCCCTCTCAATAAGGGAGAGGTGGGCCGGTCTGTGGAAAGAGTCTGGGGTTTGGAAGCCCAAGACTTGGATCTCAGCCCTGCTATTTTTGGCCTGTGTGACTCTGGGCAAGTGACTTTCCCGTTCTGGGTCTCAAATTCTTCACCTACAAAATAAGGGTGGGTAGGCTAAAGGATATTAAAAAAATGGCCCCCATTTAATGGAGCATTTCAAGGTTTGCAAAGCACTTTACGTCTGTATCTCACCCGAGCCTTGTTTATGGTGTTCATTCCAGTGAGGGGGACCCTCCCCTCAGCTCCCAAGACAGCCCCTCGCACATTTGGATGATTCTTTTTGGACGGCCTTGGGAAGTAGCGCGTAGACTTCTTATCCAAAAATATAATGAATATGCCAGTATTTCTTTGTTCCAGGGGAAAATAATCTTCTGAGAGCTCTGAAATGCTCAGGCAGGGAAGGGCCCATGCATGAATTGCTTTATTAAAAAAGTTACTTGCTTCGGTCACCTGGAGCTAAAGCACTTCTCATGCTGCTGCACATACCTTTCAAGTGCTGTTCTCTGCCATCTTGTGACTTCCCTCCCAGCGTGGGAGTTCTCTTTTTTTTCCACTGAAAACCTTAAGGTGGAGATTCCAGGCTCACCGACCTTCCCTTGGAAGCCACCTACTCCCAACCCCTCATTTGACAGAGGATGAAACTGAAATCCCAGGAAATCTCACGTCAAACAGGTAGCAAGGGACAGAGCTAGAATCTGAACTCGGGTCCTCTGATTCCAAATTCAGTCCTCTTCTCCTTTTCCCACTACACCACTTTGCTCTCCATCATTCTCAGCTCTTATGAAGTAGATTCCAGAACATGAGAGAAGACCATAGGTAACCTTCCAGGCTTGGCCTCTTCTAGCCCTGTGATTCTCCTAGAAATGTGGTGCTGGGAGGCCTTTGAGGTATGGCTGTAGTCTAAACACTGGGTGACTAAGATGGGGGATAATTAATAACAATAACAACTAACGTTTATAAAGCACCTACTATGTGCCAAGCACTTTATGATGATTATCTCATTTGATCCTCACAACCACCTTGGTTGGCAGGTGCTATTATTATCCGCATTTTACAGATGAGGAAACTGAGGCAAGCAGGTTAGGTGACTTGCCCAGGGTCACACAGTTAGAATGTCTGAGGGCAGATTTGAACTCCATGCCTGGCTCTGTAGAGATTCTGTTGACTGCTAAGGAGTAAAAGGTGAAGCCAGGATTCGAACTCAGATCCTCTCATTCAGCTCACTTTCTGATGTACTGAGATTGGACCAGGTCAGTGGCTATGCTTACGTAAAGCTTTACATGTCAAAAATTATTTATAACATAATTTACTTTGAATTTTACTAATCTTGAATACACAGCATTGTTAGTCTCCTGTTTGAAAAGTAAACAAAACTTGTTTCTTCCCCTTTGCAGTTCATACTCTAACCTCAGAGCATGTCAGAGCTAGGAATCACCAAGAATTCCACCAAAAAGCCTTCTCTCCTTGAAGGGGGCCTATATGCATGAGTCTCTGGACTCCACTGTAACATCACCCACTTAAATGTTCAATGTGCCATGATTCCTCTTCTCAAAGAATACCAAGCTGGGAGCAAAACCCACCGAGGTGATCTCAAATGTCCCTTGTGGTCCCGTGACCGTGTCCTGCAGGGGTGGCCTTCTGCTTTAAAGATGCCCATTTCTTGCCCACCAGGCAGGAGACATGATGCAACCAGGCAGCATTGTCTTTGCCAGCGCCTGCTGTCAGAAAATAATTAACAAAAATGTCAGCGACCCTATCATCCAGGGCTTGGTTTCTTCGGTACTTGGGGTGAGAGATCTCAGGTAAATGTGGAGGTTTGTTTTACTTTAACTATGCATATTGTTGCAAGGGTTTTGTTTTCCTCTTTTTTCAATGAGAGGGAGAGAAAACAGATTTTTTTTATTAAAAAATAAAATTTAATAAAATAATTAAAAACTAAAATTAGAGAGATGTTGGGTAGAATGGTCTGTTTCAACAGATACTCTGCAAAGGTAAGGGAAGAGGGGAAAAGGAAAGATATCCTGGCATCTCTCCACAGTGTCCTTTGCTGTTAGAATACTTGCTTTGGGTAAACTCAACTCTAGATGCATAGGCTGTGTGAGTTATGGCAAGGGTCAGACCTCACTGTCTCCCTCATGCCCTGGGCAGACTGCTGCACTCAGGGCTTGCTAACAGCCAGCTGCTCCCAGGAAGAAAATTGCTCCAGCTCAGGTCCCAAGATGATGGGACCTGTGGGGAGAGGAGTGTAAGTAAGGTGGGAGTCTGGACCGCAGCTATTTGGAGCCATGGCTCTGTGGCAGGTGCTTAAAAATAGCCCTGCCCTGTTTTAACTGCTGAGGATTAGAACACTGGAATCAGGCTGTGAGATGCCCTAGGATTATGGGAGAAGAGTTGAATGTGTGACTTAGAAAATGTACGGACTCAGAAATGAGGAAACAGGGACCCAAAGACATGAATTGGCTTGTTTGAGGTCACACAGGTAGCGACTGTCAGAGGTAGGATTTGAACCTGGGTCCCAGCAGATATACTTTATAGTATCAAGCTGCCATTGCATGTGATGACTCTCTTTTGCTTGAAGAGTAAGCATGTGCCCCTTCTGCTTGTCTGGCGGTATAATACATCTGTGGTGTATCAGCAGTTCATACAATAGCTAATCACACCATTGCAAATCCTTAGTGATGCATCCTCACTGTCTGTTTGTCTTCTCCTGCCTGGGAGCAGGAGCCCCAAAGAGCTAGCATTCTGTGCTTGAAATATAGACTGTCTCAGGGACCAATGGGTCGAAACCCAAGCTGTTTTTTACAGGCCTCTCAATGAGGTTCTCATCTCACTGATGCCAAGGGTCTGATTCCTCCCACGCAATCAGCGGCCCTTATCTTGGCAAACCATTAGCCACATCATGTGCCCTGATGGGGCATAAGCTGCCCTCTCCAGGGCTCATGAATTTGAGATACGGAGATGTAAGAGGTCCTCAACTCGCTTAGAAAAATGATGCCCAACTAAATCATGGTGCCACCCAAGGGAACATAGGGGAGAAATGGAATGTAGGAGATGGAAAAGCATTGGAGGCAGCGCAGTTGCTGGGCTTTGGAAAATTAACATTTGCTACTTCCCAAGGATTATGGTGGGGAGACTTTAGATCAGATAGGGCATATAGCAGCACTGGGTGAAGGGTCAGCCTAAAGCTTAGCATAGAGTCCTAGCTTCATTTTTGGTAGGTTACTGTGCCTCATTTGATGTCAGATTAAAATTGTAGCTTTGGGGTAAATATTACTATCTGGCATTAATAGAAAAGATTTTTACTTCACGGAGCACTTTTCATTCATTCATTTATTCATTTGTTCATTCATGTATTCAATAGCAACTTATTCTCAAGCTGGGTCAATCAGAGAGAGGATTACATTTGATCCTCCCAGCAACCTGGGAGGTACCAATTTAGGTGGTTTTATCCTCATTTTATAGATGAGAAAAATGAGATATTAGATGACTGCCTCATGGGCCATACGGCACTAAGTGTCTTAGGCAGAATTTGAATCCAGGTCTTTAGTGCCTTCCAGTCTGTCTGCTGTGCTATCCTTTGCTTGCCTAGGGACTGGTATTGTTGCATTGTGTGTATGGACAAGCTAACATCCTGCTTTTGCCACCTTTTAGGAATTTGCATAAGATTATACAGACACCACCAAGGGTAAGGGGAGAAGAGGAAATTTGAGAAGGAAAGAAGCCGTGACAGTGATGGTGGTGGAAGGGGCTGGGGAGTTTTGAAACTGAGCCAGGGAGGAAGGGATTTAGAGATGGGAAGGGAGAAGATGTCTGGAGGTTTGGCCCTCGTTGCTGTGAGCGGGGAGGAACAGAGCCTTACGTTACTCAGGGACTAGACCTGGGATTTCACTGGGTCAGGGAGCTCTCAGGTGAGGAAATACCCTCTACCAATGCAGACTGCCACTCGCTTTGTGGGTGAGCATCTTCAAGAAGGCCCAGAGCACTGAGAGATGCAGGGATTTGCCCTGAGGCTCATACGGTGAGCATCTAAGAGGCGACTTGAACTCAGCCGTGTCTTTAGAACACTAAGGCCAGTGTTCTGTCCGCTCTGCCTCATTGCCGCTCCCA